GATTATTATATTTCCTTGAATTAGCATCTAATTTCAAATAGCTGCATTCCTTGAATAAGTGCTGGGAATTTTTACCTATGCAAATGAGTAATCTGGCCCTTATTCAAGTCTAAGGCTTGCCAACTTCCATAGTTGATTCTGGGAGTTTTTCATTCTAGAAATAAAAATTTTCAGATTTCACATATTTTATTCTCAGAAATATCAACTTATTATTTTTGGTCAGTTTTAATATACCCCAAAAGTTCTTTCTTTCTTTCTTTGATGTTTCATATGGAGATTCTAGCCTGTTAGCTTATGAACACCCAAATGTTAATTCAAGGAAATACAGTACTTTATAGTAAGGAAGAACATTTATAGTATATCATTTTTGATTCTGATAATTATAAATGCTTAAATGTGTATATATTAAAATTTAATATTCTATAACATGACAATCCTGCAAATTGATGTCATCAACCGAATGGAACAAAATAAATATTGGATACAAAAATTAATACAGGTGTCCCCGTAAAACACTAAAGTTTGGTTTTGAAAATGCCATGTTGTTTGAATCTGTGCTATCTGAAACAAAGAACTAGTCCAAAGACTTAGGGTCAGGTTTCAAAAGTTAGCGAAAGTGTACTATTCTTTTTCGAAATTAAGAGAATTATGTTTATTAAAGCAATCAATGATTAACTAACAATCGCAATCAAAAATATTGCACACTAATATTAATTTTTTCTTTATCATTAAACTAGGACATTTTCTTTTTTGGCAAAATATCGTTATCTTCTGAGCTTTCCTGTTAATCTTAATCTGAAGTATTAGCAATATCTTGATTTTTCTCTAATTTTTTTCATAAAATACATTTTTTTCATTTGCTTGCATTTGTCTAAGAGATCTTTAAAAATTTAATCTTTTTATATAGTAACATTTAATTTAATGTATAAAAACAAAGCACAAAAACAGTCTTTCTGGTTCATTTAGAGCACTGTCACCAACAACAGTGACACCTGGTCTATAAGAAAGCTAGAATAATAAGCTGAGGACAAGAAAGAAGAAAAATTATACAATCAGTTGTCATTAAAGAAAACCAAGTGAAAGGCATGAAACAACATTGAAAACTTGAATATTCTAAAAATCTATGGGCAAATATGAGATGATATGCATTCTTGCTTTAATAAAAAAAAAATTTGAATGAGTGTTTGTACTTAAAATTGTGACATTTTGTACAAGGATATCTCCAATTCTCAGTGTTAGAGTGAAACTATGTTATATGAGGGATACCTATACTATATTTTTTTAACTTTCTATTTACAATGTTATAATAAGGTTTTCTATATTGAAACTAAACATTGAAGATTTTGATACAACCTTTTTCTGAGAAGGACTTTTACAGCTTATTAAAGACCATCTAGGGGAAGAATGAAACCAGAAATTTCTGTGTGCGAGTCACCTGCATGGCTGGTGGCTTCAGTAGACCTAGAATAGATTGATAGGCTACTTTAAAAATGCTAGCAACAAATTATTGTTGCAAAAATTGTCAAAAATTGTCATAAACTATTGAAAATGGATGCAATTGATTTGCTAATGAAGAAAAACTACAAAGTTAAAAAAAAATTAAGGCTTTAATTGGTTAATTTTAGTATTTATTTTCAACAAACCATGTTAACAAAAGCTATAATTATATGTTCAAAATAGCATTAATATCATTTAAAAGTGAAACTTAATTAATTTAATTAATTAATTAAATTAATGAAATTAATTAATTACATTAAAAGATTATGCTATTTTTAGTATTATTATTAGTATTTATTATTAGTTATATTTATTTATGAGTTTAATTATTTATGTATATGTCTATTACATAATAACAGGAATAACAGAAATTTTCTGTTAGAAAAATTTGTGAATAATTAGTAATAAATTATAATTTTATGTATCTATGATTATATATTACATGAATAACATTACATTAAATTAATTTTTTTAATAGAATTGAATCTTAAAGAAGTAGAAGAGCAGAAAAGTAATTCCGAAGTCAAAAATGGAAATGTATGTTATATATATTATTAATATCTTAATGAATTTGTATCAATAGTTTTAGTTTTATTATTCTTTATAAATATTAAAAATAGATTACCTGAAAATTACAGTGTTATGTTCAAAATTACTTTCTTGTGTGATTTATTTTATATAATCTATGTAAAGAAGTATATATTGTATAACATCTCAAATACAGAATCTCAAAATTCTTAAAACCTGAGATTTATAACATTTGTAATTAAGTTTGTTTTTGTATTTTAACTGGCGTTCTGTTGCGTATATATCCAGCAGATACATAATTTTTTTTTTTTTTTTTAATTTCTAAAAAAAAATAACAGTTGAACTATGAGGTTTTATAGTATTCCTCAACTGGTATGTTCTGAAGTGATTTCTACAGTGGTTTTTAAATTTATGAATTTTTTTCAGAGAAATTTTATGAAAAACAATACCTTTCTACCACCTGCAGTAAATTCTCTCACAGTGTGAGAGCACTATACTCTTGATTGTTGCACATAACAATCACAATTCAATAAAAAACAATGTAGAATATTTAAACTTTACCACAATGCTACACATTTTATTGTTTTCTCCTGGTTTCAACGACTGGACCAATCTCAATTCATTTCAAATAAGTCATTTCAGCTGTTTTTGACAATGCGATTTTCTCATTTCGGTGTTATTACCCTGCTTTCTTGCTATCAGAGCACGATAAAAAATTTAATACTTTCAATTTTGCAACAGTTAAAATTTATGTTCATTATGTAGCAATACCATTTAGTAATTGTGACCCAAACATTTATTTGGTAATTTTATCAATATTTTTTAAGTTATTAAAAATAAAATTATAAATTCATTACTGGCAATACTAGTTGTTAATTTTAAAAGAAAATAATCCCCTGAGTGCAAGAAAACAAGTTGTTAGTCATTTAACTTGCTATTGACAGAGTAAGGTGGTTTTGAAAACAAAGTAATAAAACGATCAGAAGTTTGCTGTCCTTCACAGTGGGGGACCAGCAGAGTCCTATTAGTTTCACAGAAGAGAATAAACAGTTCTTACTACCCCAAAGTTGAAAGATAATACATTCCTGTGAAATTTAACAAATCTGATGTCAATAAGTAAAAGTTGAAATGATCTATAGTGGGGGGTCACCACACTTTTTCACAGTGGGCCAGATAACTGAGAGAATGATGAGCGTGGGCCTCATAACCATTTTGTTCAATACAGCACACTGAATACGCAAATAAAGAAACCAACATATTTATTTACCAGTTGCTGCAGCAAGCTCAATTCAGTGATTCTCGACCACTCTGCCGCAGCACATTAGTGTGTTGCGAGATTTTTGAAATGTGCCGCTACTGTGAATATCCATACATAAATTATGTCAGACAAGTAGTTCAATCGGTTCTACCTTCCTAAAGTGCATTTGGAAATTGTAACCAGTGTTACCAGTAACTGCCGGTAGTTATCAAGGCATTTAAAAAATGTGACTTAAATTACCAACTGTGTTTAAAAATCAGTTATGATGTCACTGGTTGTCCTGCGGTACTTACTGAAGTAACCATGTGTGCTGACAAATTTTTAAATTATTAAAAGTGTCTTGTGACGAAAAAAAGGTTCAGAATCACTTTCATAATTGCTTTTCTTAGAAACTTCATTGCAGGTACTTACACAAAAAGCACTCTGATATGCAAGGTTGCAAAAAGCCAAAAATTTCATTTCACTGATTTTCCTAAAAATTATATTACTGTCAGATGCAAAAATTAGATTGGACATTTTTGCATTGAATTTTGGCATTTTTACTTACACTTATTTTTTCTACACAGTAAGTTAATCTACAATCTATGATATTTCCATATAAATAATTATATTTTAGCTCATTTGTTGCACAGTGTGGTGGTGGGCCGAATGAACTGACCTTGCGGGCTGGATCTGGCCTGCAGGCCGTAGTTTGGTGACTCTTGATCTATAGTGAATTGAAATTTGATAAATTTAGTTTTTTGCATTTACAGATCAAATTAAAGAGAATATAAATAAAAATCTAATTTTTTAAAAACCCACAAGTATTTTATACTGTTAGATAGTAGAGAAAGTGTAAAAATCAAAGATATAATCATAGTCAAGCACATGTATCTGTAAAAATATAAAAATTGCATTAATTTGCATTATATATCTAGTGGATACAATGCACCAAGTGAGCTTTTAAAACTCTTATGTGCGTAAAAGGGAGTTAAACTGTTGCTCTATGAGTTTTTCTTATCACATTTAATGTTCTTATTTGATCTGAAATTTTGGAATAAGATTGATAATGATATGGTGGGTGTATATATATATATACACCCACCATATCATCATCAATCTTATAAATGAGGTATTTTCTGTTAGAACAAATAATTTTTAATTCTTTAAGATATATAAAAGGCCAAGAAATGGTTCTTAAGGCAAAAATCCCAAGAAATGTTGCAATTATCATCAAACAAAAAGTGGATTTATTGAAGTTGGATAAGAAGATACCAGTGAAGAAATTAAGTGTTGGAATTTTAATTGTTTGCAATATAAGAAAACAAAACAAATAAATATTAGGTTGTCAAGGATGAAATTTGTAGGTAATAATATTGCCAACTGTTGAGTGACCCATCTCCGAGTGCCTATGAATTATTGTTGAAGTTTGGTGTTAGCAAACAAACAATATTAACTCATTTAGCTCAAATTGGTAAAGTGAAAAAGTTGGATAAGTGGGTTCCACATGAACTGAATGAAAAACAAACAAAAGCATTTGGAAGCTTGCTTGATATTGCTTTCTCATCACAAATCTGATCCATTTTTGAATCAAATTGTCACTTGTGATGAGAAATGGATCCAATATGACAATCACAAACATGCAATGCAATTCAGCACAGTGATTGGACAAGGATGAATCACCAAAACATCTCAAAAGTGCAATATTCATCAAAAGAAGCTGATGATGAGTGTTTGGTGGTCTAGTGCAGGTGTGATCCATTATGATTTCGTGAAACCTGGCTCATTGATCACAGCAGAAATATACTTCAACCAACTGGACGAAATGATGCAAAAATTTAAAGAAAAACAGCCTAGATTGGTCAACAGATTGACTCCTATCTTATTGCATGATAATTCTAGACCACACACAGCACAAATGACTGTGGCAAAACTATAAGAATTGGAGTTGGAATGTCTTCATCAACCTCCATACTCACCAGACCCAGCCCCCACTGACTGTCGCTTCTTCCACAATTTGGACAACTTTTTAATAGGAAAACAATTTAATTCCAACAATGCTGTAAAACTGGCCTTCCAGGAATTCGTTGACTCTCGTCCGCCAGGATTTTATACCACTGGCCTGAACAACTTGCCACTTAAATGGCAAAAGTGTATAGAGAATATGGGTGCATACTTTGATGAATAAAATAATTCCTTATATTTGTGAGTTATCAACCAACTTTGCCTTTTTTTCCCACAAATTTCATTCTTGACGACCCAATACTTAGTTTTTGTAAATAATGATGCTTTGAGATTAATGACTAATATGTAACATTACATCAATCAAAGACAGTTGATAAGACAAAGTATTAATGGAAAATTTTCATTTGGACTGAACTACTCATGATTCTACACGAATAAATTTGTGGATTCTACAACAAATTTAAGTGACATCGTGATCTTCAAGAAAGTATATGATGAAAGTTTTTCTGCCACTCATGAGTCTATTAAGGAGTTTATATTATTTGATTTTGTGTGAAAATTTACTGCCAGCATAAATATACTGATTTTATTAATATTTGGTGATCTGTTTCTAGGAGATATATGTAACAGCTGATGAAATATTGCTGTCTAACTATCAGAATTCAAAAGAATGCCTCACTGTTCTTACATGTACATACTAATGAATCTATAAATGCAAATTGCTTATTATAGACAAAAATAAAAATTTCAGGGCTTTAAAAGGGATCAAAGTTTTTCTCTTTATTATAGACTTAAAATAATAGACTTGAGCTATNGGAATAAATTTGTGGATTCTACAACAAATTTAAGTGACATCATGATCTTCAAGAAAGTATATGATGAAAGTTTTTCTGCCAATCATGAGTCTATTAAGGAGTTTATATTATTTAATTTTGAGTGAAAGTTTGTTGCCTGCATAAATATACTGTTTTATTAATATTTGGTGATCTGTTTATAGGAGATATATGTAACAGCTGATGAAATATTGCTGCCTGACTTTCAGAATTCAAAAGAATGCCTCACTGTTCTTACATGTACATACTAATGAATCTATAAATGCAAATTGCTTATTATAGACAAAAATAAAAATTTCAGGGCTTTAAAAGGGATCAAAGTTTTTCTCTTTATTATAGACTTAAAATAATAGACTTGAGCTATNCAGCAATGTACTAGCTTCTCAAACACATGTTGCAGACCATTTTCAGAGATTCAGTATAAGATAGTGGATGTGGCAGCTTTTACTTCCTGGTTTGTTCGCCTTCCTTAAAATGCTTTCATTATTTAAATATGGCCAATCTGCCCATTGCTCATCATCATATGCTTGTTTAATCATCTCAAATGTTTCCTGTAACTTGTCACAAAATTCAATAGCTATCCTTTTTCGGGTAATTAATAGTATATCTTCCACCTGCCATTGTACAACACACTGCAGTTTGACTTTTTTTAGAGAGCAAACAAACAACTGTGCATTGGCTTTACTCACATAAACATAGTATGTCACAGGCAACAGTCGCAGTATTGCTTCCACAGAATTGGCACAATGTTGCCTGTCCACAAACTTTTGGAACTGCCTTCATCATACAAGGAGGAAATGTAAATCTGAATGAAATTTTTGCAATTTGTAGGTGGGGACTTCCTGAGTACAAATGTAAAATATAGATATAAGATGACATGCTGTTCAATAATAATTTACACAAGTGATTTTAGCGTCTGTTATAAAGTGTGCAAGAAGGAAGATGTTTCAGTGTGCTTTATGGCAGTGTACTAAGACTTTTACCAACTAAAATTTTGTGTTGAGTTCAAATCCCAATGTTTTAAGCTTTTGTAAAATAATTTATAAATAATGTGAATTTATCATATTTATAGTAAATTGATCATAGAACCCTAAAAGTTTTTTAAAAGCTTACTTCATAACTTTCTACTTTAGCTGCATTATACAGTATTTCAATATTTTTGCTGATATTATGCTTATAGATTTATGATTTTATTANATAGTGGATGTGGCAGCTTTTACTTCCTGGTTTGTTTGCCTTCCTTAAAATGCTTCCATCATTTAAATATGGCCAATCTGCCCATTGCTCATCATGATATACTTGTTTAATCATCTCAAATGTTTCCTGTAACTTGTTACAAAATTCAATAGCTATCCTTTTTCGGGTAATTAATGGTATATATTCCACCTGTCATTGTACAACACGCTGCGGTTTGACTTTTTTTAGAGAGCAAACAAACAACTGTGCATTGGCTTTACTCACATAAACATAGCATGTCACAGGCAACAGTCTCAGTATTGCTTCCACAGAATTGGCACAATGTTGCCAGTCCACAAACTTTTGGAACAGCCTTTATCATACTTATAAGGAGGAAATGTAAATCTGAATGAAATTTTTGCAATTTGTAGGTGGGGGCTTCCTGAGTACAAATGTAAAATATACATATAATATGACATGCTGTTCAATAATAATTTACACAAGTGATTTTAGCATCTGTTATAAAGTGTGCAATAAGGAAGATGTTTCAGTGTGCTTTATGGCAGTGTACTAAGACCTTTACCAACTAAAATTTTGTGTTGAGTTCAAATCCCAATGTTTTAAGCTTTTGTAAAATAATTTATAAATAATAATTAAATTATTTAAATGAAACAATTTTTAAATTTTGTTGCTTATAATATTTGCTGTTTCTGAGATATATCCTGATGGATTGTCTGCCACTTATTTGTTGATTTAAAATAATTATTCCAAATAAACAAATACATCTTTTAAAAGTTGTTTTAAAACAATTCTTGAATTTCTAATTGCTGTTTAGTAAACTGCCAGAGAAGTATCAGTATACAAAACTTTAGACATTGATGACACTGGCTCCATTTTACTGACAACAAAAAATTTTACTCTGCTTACATTTATAGATCACAGCCAAATTTGGCCAGCTAGTTTTAAATTTGTATATAAATTAACAAGGCAATAAAGTAATAAAATTATTCTATTCTAAGTAACTTCATCAATATCAGTAGTAGTAGTCAAACAATTTATTAAATATATATATTTTTTTGTTTAATTAATTTAAATGTTATTTATAAATATATACTATTTCAACAATAGTTTGAAAAAAAATTCCAGTAACATTGCAGTAGGCAAAGATCTTACTATATCATGATGCAGCATTTTGAAATGCCATCCTTTTTGTTTTCTTTATAAGAGGCCTCAAATCTTTTTTGTTTATTATTATTTAATGATTCTCCCATCTGCATCTTAATATTTTATGTGTTTGCATGCAGGAGCAAACAGCAAAAGTTTCATTCAGATTGTTTTCCATCTTACAACTCTCCTTGTTAGTTTTAACAAATGGAAAAAGTCTAAATGCATGAAACAGTAATTATACAGTTGCAGTGAAAAAAACAGTTTTTATTAATATATTAAAACAGATTACATTACTTTTCAGTTATATAATGGATGAAGTAGAATCATGACAGGTTTTTAAAAAGTTATGGTTATTATTGATCTTCTATTATTAAATTAAAATTTCTTCTGTTAATATGTATAAACTACATTTATGGGAAAATGTTGTTGCATTTGAGTTTAAAGCAAGTAGTTTACATCAGGTCTGTGGCATCGGAATCGGTAAAAATGTGTTGACTCCAACTCCAGCATTTTAAATTAATTTAGTTTTTTTATTTAAATGAAAGAAAATTTATTTTATATTTATTCATTTTTAAAAATATTTTTGTATTTTGTTATAATTCATTTATTTTAAATACAAAATGCAACAATTTAATTTATTAAATATGTATCAATAGTTTTCTTTGTGGCATTTGTATTTAATAGTTAAATTATTTTGACCCAATTTTATTTGAATATTTTTGATTCATTCCTTTATTATCCTTGCTCTAAATAAGTAGTCTGTTTTTCTGAATGAGCCAGACTCATTGATCAGAGTATATATTTTTCTTTTTTGAATAAGAGGTTGCTGAAGTAGCTAGTTGCACACTTTTTAGTTGAACTAACTTTTCTGGAAAGGTGAAATTGAAGTGCAAAAGATGTAGAATAAAGATATGTAGATGTAGAATTTCATCGCTCCCCTTTTTCCTCTTGTTAAATATTTGTTAAAAATTTTTATACAAATAAATGTTATTGTAAGTTAAATATTAAAAATACTAACTATAAAAGTATTTGGATAAATGCTCAGGGTTCCTTTCAGAGTTCAGAGTCAGGTCCTCCTATGAGTGCCTCTGCTCACCATAAAGTGACTTGGTATTTAATTTTGCTGGAGTTGGAGTTGAGTGTTTTTTTACTGACTCTGCAGCCCTGGCTTACATTCAATAATTGATGATAAATTTTTTATTAATAGTTAAAATTAATATGACCTTAGAATTTTTAATTTCAATTTATAGCTGTTTGAAAAAACTGATGATTTTATTATAACTTTTATTGCAGAATGATAGTGCCAAAATTTCTGTTCCTTCATCTGTTTTACAATCAAATTCCACCCCAAACAATTCTGTTATTTCTCCTAAACAAAAAATTAAGAAGAAAAACAAAATGCCAAGTTCATTATCATGCAAGAAAAAACAACAGATTATAAGAGAAGATAGTTCAAGACCTTTTAAGGTAATAACTTGTTTTAATATATAATTTTTAAAAATTTTATTCTTCATTTAAGTTTAATATGAGTCACAGATATCCTGTGACTCATATCAAACTCTTCAGCAGTACTGCCAATTGTGATTCTTCTGTCTACACAGACAGATTCTCTAATCAATCGTTTTTTTTACCGTCAGTTGTTAAAGTGGTCAGGGTTGGGTGCCTAGAATGGATGGCATTGTTCATGTTCTCCCTTCCATTCTTGAATCTTTGTACCCACTGGTACATAGCCACATAACTAAAATAATTCTCATTATACTGAGCTTTCATTGGGTAGTAAATTTTGGCTGATTATCATCCTCAGCATTCAAAACATGAATAATACTAGATAGCTTTTCAACAGTGCAATTCAAATTGTGGCATGGCCATTTTGGAATCATACTACCAGGGTACAGTTGCCACTGTGACTGCTCAATTTATACAAAAGAAACCATTTTGGTTCACAAATTAGCAGATTTTCTTACATTCCAATTGTAACAGCACTTATTACAAAATTAAGTTGCATTGTAAAAATATAAGGCCACTCCAGCCTTTTGGAATAATAAATTTTTATCACATTTAAACAAAAAACTAATGACATGAATACATGTAAATGTAAAAGAATTACTTATTTTATTTACAATTAAATATAAAAATGAAAATATAAATTTTTTATTCAAAAAATCACAAATAATGGTGTTGCAAAAATATAAGGCCAGTTGCCACTTAATAGTGAGTGAATCATCATTTTTAACACAATAATCTTGTAAACTGTCTTTCATAGAGACAAGATATTGCAGCACATTTAAATTGATTTTTTCCAGTGCAATTACAATTACAGCTTTGAGTTGTTCAATACTGAGGTATTATTTTCCTCTTGCATATATGACCCTACTTATTAGACTCCATAGCTTTTCTATGGGATCCAAATCATTGGAATAGAAAGACCAATCCATGACCTGAATGCCATTATCCAGTAACCACTGATAAGTGAAGTTTGCATTGTGAATTGGTGCATTATCTTATTGCAATTGCCGGAATGGACCACCAACTTTTTCTCGAAATGGCAGAAGATATACATCCATAAAGTTTTGATACACAACTGGCTTCATTCAGCCATTTATGAATGTTAAATTAATTTTTCCAGACCATACAAAACCTGCCCAGATCATAACTGATCCCCTTCTTGCTGATGCTTGCTAAACAAAAACTCCTCTCTAAAGATTGTGCCAATAAAATTGCCAACCATCAGGACCATCCAAATTAAACTTTTTTTTATCAGTCCAAATAACTTCACATCATTTTGAAGTCCATGACATTTTATCTTTGATCCATATCAGTTTTTTTTTTGTTGGTACTGTTGCTTGTTTTGTATTTTTATACACTAGATATTTTACTGATTTTACCATTTGGAAAAGTGTGGATTTGGGAACATTAACATCAAGCCTTTGTACTATTTTACATAATGATGTTCCTGTTATTGATATTTCTCTGATAATAACTGATTTTTGCTTTCTTGTGAACTTGGAAGGCTATCCTATTTGTTTTTTCTTTCCATATTGCACACTAAGTTTAATATAATTGGATACAACACAACATGATCTCTTTGGCTGCTTTGCAATAGCTCTAGCAGAACTTCTAGCCTGATGCAGTGACCTGATTTGGCTACACTCAAAGGCTGTTTAGGACAAGTAATTTTAACAATGGGTAGAGGTATCAGAACAATTAATGGTTATATAAATTTTAACTATGCCTTTATTTGTAAGTATGGAGTGCTGCCATCTCTTTATAATAATCAAATAATAGGTGATAGTGAATTTTTTTTGATAACGTGCTCAAAAATGTAACTGGCCTTATATTTTTGCAACACCTTCTTTTTGATTTTTTTAATTAAAAATGTATATTTACATTTTTATTTTTGATTGTAAATAGAATAAATAATTCTTTTATATTTACATTTATTTCTGTCACTAGTTTTTTGTTTAGTATGATAAAAATTTATTATTTCAAAATGTTAAGGTAGCCTTATATTTTTGCAACACACCTTATACTTATTTATCGACTTTACCTAATACATAAAACATTGAGAAAATTATATAAAGAATTAAACTTATAAAAAAAACCAAACAAATTTGCAAAACTGTGTTACTAAACTGTATTTTAATAATTTAAAGATAACTAGGTAAATTACTAAGATTAATAATTATTAAGTAAGAACAAAGCTTATTTGTGATATCAAAGTTTCATTATAAATAATTCTCAATATAAATATTTTAAAACTACAAAATATAGAATTTCTAATGAATATACATCACTATAGAATACTATAATTGGTTAGTTAGTTATCTTGTTCTTGATATTGAATTAATAGTAAATGATTTGGTTGTCTCTGAATAAAAACAGTCTTTTTTCAGTGTCCTATAGAAGGCTGTGAATGGGCTTTTGGAAAAGAATATAGATTAAAACGTCATTTAGAATCACATGAAGGAAAGAAAAATTTTATAGTAAGTTATATATAATTTACGTAAATTTTGTATGGCCAATTTTTAATACATTTGAAATAACTTTAATGAATTTTTTTCAGTGTGATCATGAAGGATGTAATAGACAGTTTACAACAATTTATAATCTTAATGCTCATAAAAAATTACATAAAAGACCTGATTCTATTCTGTGTCCTGCAAAAGATTGTGGACAGTTGTTTCCAACTCGTAGAAAAATGGAACAGCATTTAAGTGTACATAAAGAAGTTCAAGCTCCTTATAAGTAATTAAAATATAATAAATTATTAATGCATATATAATTTTAATTGATTGAAATTAATGAATAATGTTTCAGATGCCCTTTTCCTCATTGCGGAAAAGAATACTATTCTGCTAATTCAGTAGCATCACATATTAGAGTACATAAGTATAATGAAGACGATTTTAAATGCCCATATGAAGGTTGCAGGAAAGTTTTTGATAAAATATGCCGATTAAAACAACATGTAAGGTATCACACTGGAGAAAGACCTTATGTTTGTGATTATGAAGTAAGTATTTTATAAACTTAAAGTTCCTCAATAATAATATTTTTTTAATTATGAAAATATTTAATTATAGGGATGTGGATGGACATTTGTAAATGCAAGTAAACTTACAAGACATATGCAAAAACATACCGGTGAAAGAAATGAAACTTTTAACCTAAAATTAAAAGTTGTGGATCTTTTTCTACTATGAATAAGAAATATTTAGTAATCTTGATTTTTATAACTTATAAGAACAATGAAAGGTTGACTCTGTCGTGGAATTGTTATTTTCTTCAAGGGACAAGTGAGAAGATGCTTTTTTTTTTTATTATTGTCCATGTGTGAGTCTGTGTACACACTAACTGGTTTCTAGTTTCTATATATTTCAGGAATGGACTGTATTTCTTGAGAATTTTTGGATATTGTGATTCAATATTAAACAGACATGCGCTATTTTAGATATTACTAGAGGTACATGTATTTTGTTAAAGACTTTCTGCTGTTTGCCTTCATCTTTATTTTAATATTCTAATTTTTATACTGAAATGATATGTTTGTAGTATTTCATTAAAATGGCATTTAATTTTTATGGAAGTGTTTTTTTGCTTTATGTCATTTAGCTGTTATATATTTGTAGCATTACCAGATTTCTATGACCTGATCAAAAGACACTCTCCAACCTATTCACCCAAAAAAAGTAAAATTGAATGAATTTTTAGTTAACTAAACATTCTGTTTTTCTATGTGGCCTAGTGATTAGATATCTGGCTTTAATTTATAAGGTCTGGGTTCAATTCCTAGTGTGGGAACATTTCTGGCTAGCCAGATGGCTGAGGTAGTTAAGACATCAGCCTACCATTCTGAGAACCCAGCATAAACTCTGAGCAGTCAAAATCCCCAGAAATTTTTCAAGGGATACCTTATACTTTGACCCACATCACCTGATCAAGGTTGCCTATGAAAGCCTTTGTCAGGCCTGACAAAGGCTTTTTTAGTGCCCAGAGGGCAGAAAGAGTAAAAAACAAAGAAAACACATTCTGTTTGTATTTTTTAGATTTTGATTTAAAAGTTATATTGTTTATAATGACTGTACATATTTGCAGATTTTGCTTTAATGTATTTAATAGAAATCCATAGCTCTCCATGGGGATGAGGATGGATTAATAAATAAGGAGAGGGAGAGATGCCTATGGAGAAATCTGCCACTGTTGTTATAAAACATCAGAGGTGCAGAATATTTTCAGAACCAAAAATTTCTTCCAAACATACACAATATCTTCCTGAAAATTACTTTCCAATAACACAGAATAAAACAATAATTTATGAATGAATTAATAATTATTACTACTTAGTTTGGAAAATTAAAATTAAATCATATAAATAATTAAATAGGCTGACTGAATAATTTGCTGCCCAACACTAAACAAAAATTAATGTAAAATTTTTTAATTAAAAGAACACTTTAATTTCAGCATGTCATCATCATAGGATAGCATATACAATTATAAACTTTGACAAAAATTTTGATTAATAGAAATAAAATTGAAGTTGCCATTGATGCCATAAATGACCTATTTTTTTGCATGGGCTGCTAATTAATAGGCTTTTCAATGTCCAAAAATACAACATTTTTTTTATGATGGCAACAGTTCTACAGTTTTTTTTTTTCTCCGTGAAAGTCAATCAACTCTAAAAGCGTTTTTGACTGACTGAGCT